AATACGTGTTCGGGGCTGAGCTGCTTGAAAGAGAATTGCTGACAAACCAAGCTTTTGTTGGCAAAAATGTCTGCTGGGGCGGGAAGGTGAGAAGTTGTTAATTTAAAATAAGTTCTTTAAGAATCCTAACTGTGAATCTATAGAACAAATCTAGCTGAAAATGCAGAAAACTCACGCTTACCTCAATGACTATGGGGCTGGAAGTTTTGAAGGGAATGTGGTTTATTTATGCAGAAGTGTAGGGATAGGAGAGGCACGAGTTCATCTTCTGTAAGTATTTATAAGACATTGAAAGTCCCAAATAAGATTTTGAGACTGTTGTGTGAACACGTGCACATATAATTTGGAGAAACATTTTGCTCCACCGTCGGTACATTAATCTTCCTAACAAGCAATTTCTTCAGCCCGTTGCATTCTTGTTGCTATTTGTAGGAGACAGGGGAGAGTGCAAAAGTAGGAAACAAGTCCACATTGTCTCTTTTCTCCATTAAGCAGACTTCTTCCGCAGCGCAGTCCTTGTGGGAAACAGTTGGCCAAGTTGATTTGAAGCTTAGTTGTGTCTGGTTAATGGCACTGAGGAGTGCTTCTGCATCTTTTATGTGTTTGCATACACAGTTAAAGCAGTGTCTGTTAGCTACCCAGTGCATTTAGCAGCTCTTCAAGAGCTCTGACTGGTCTGGTTGGACCAGCAATCACAAAACTATTCCATTTGCAAACTGTAGAAGTGTAGGTTATGTTCATACACAAGTGCTCCGATTCATACTGGAGAGGCAGAGATGTTTCAAGTGTGCATCTGTGCTCTTCATGCGGATGATGCTTCAGCTTTTCCTTCAGGGAAAGTTGCAGCTGAGAGTAGGAACATCTGAATTTAAGCTTTGGTGTATGTGAGTTAGCAGCAGGTGAGTGGTCTTGCGAAGAGGATTAAAGGAAAAAAAAAGGTAAGTTATTTGTGTTCATCTTGCCTGTACCAAGTCCTTTTGGAACAGGTTCTCTAAAAAAATTATCAGGAGAGGAAGACCTTTAGCCACTTGCCTGTGATTTCACTGGAGCCCACTGATGAGGGATGCACAACATCTGGAGGCTGAGGCTGCAGGCTCCTGCAGGCTCCTGCTCACCTCTTTGTTAACAAGGGGGGCTGGCAGAGATGGGTCATGCAATTGCAGGGCAGAGTTGTATGATTAAGTGCCGATGTATGCCCATCCAAGAAGCTGTGCCCTTACTGTGGCTCTAACAACTACCCATCTGGGCTGACTTTCATCCAATGATGCCCACCGATGTTTTCTTGCACAGAGCTACAGCCCTTACTTCCTATCACACTGAAGCAGCTCTGACAATTTTCAGGGCTTCAGTTGTTCAGCTGAGTTACCTCAAGCTTCAGGAAACTTCCAGAGCAATTCTGATTCTCTGACTGCTCTTGCATGAATACCAGCAGCCAGCCAGGCTTGCCTTCCCCTCCCTCCCCTGTACAAATTGCCTCCCCAGGGCCATCCAAACACAGGGCTCATCTAGGAGGAAAGGAAATCAGAGTGCTTCAAACCCAGCTGTCACCAGGTGAATAACTCCTTTGAATGATGAATGTAGCAGGTATCTCATCTACTCAGGAAGGTCCCAGATTTGATTTTGTTTTTCTTTCCCTTCAAGAATGTGCTGTAGCAATTTCTTCTTTTGGTGCAATCAGTGAAAATCCCATCAGATCCCAAGGGTGAGTGCTTTGAAGTTGCTTGGGGTGTGTGAGTCACATTCTGCTGGCTCCTGGTGATGGGATGCCAGGTTCAGGTCAGAGGGGCTTCTGTCTGGGCCACCTTTGCTCTCACTACAAATTCATTTTGCATAGTGCCTATCTCTGTGTAGATCCACATCCAGTCTGTAGGAAGGAAGGGATTGGTGGTGGACTTGAGCCCTTCCCAACATTGAGGAACTGTCTGTCAGACTTCTCATAGTAATGTCAGGGCACCTGAGGGAAAGACAGCATGAAAGAAGGGCTGTTCTCAGCACAAGACAAGACTTCAGCCCTGGAGCATCTGTGGACCTGCACTCCGTGTTCATCTCGATGCAAATCCTGAGGTGCACCTGGATTTGTCAGTTAATCTTTTTTAAATTTGTGCATAACTCCAATTGTATAGTTCTGACAATCCCCAGAGCCGTGCTCTTTTCTTATTCATTTAACAGGACCAAAAATCTTCAGCAGTCTCTTGTCAGTTCTCTTGCTGTCCCTGGCTTGTTGAAATGCTGTGTTATCTCATGGCAGGGGACCCATGCGTGCTGCATCACATCTCTGCCCATCACCCCTCATCTGCCCTGATGTGCATGGGAGAAGTTGCCACATTTCATCAGGGTGCAGTAATGCTTGCCGGATGGAAAAATGCTGCTGTTTGCCGGGCAGTAAAACCTTCGCTTGATTTTTATCGTGTTTGTTCTTTATTTTTGTTTTCCCCTTCAATCTTCTTTTAGCAAAGGCAGCTGGCACCTACAGCTCCTGCTGCAAGAAGGGCTGCAGCTGCTCACCATCCACAGCAGGACCCAGCGGGGTGCATGTGTAGCAGAGTCATTTCAAAATTTGGTTACTCCAGGGCACAAGCATTCAGTCGTGGTGGGTCTTCCACATCCCCCTACGTCTGCTTTGGGATCTTTGGGCTCATGCAGTAAATTAGAGAGGGATCAAAGGCCAGCCTTCCAGCCATCCTGCCATGCATGGTTACAGAGTGATCAAGCAGGACATGCAGTCAGAGCCAGCAGTGGGAGCCTGTTTGTTCACACCTGGATGCTCACAGTGGTGCCATAAGTCTGCCAGATGAGGTGGCCATGGTAGTTGTTCTTTGAAGTAACTGTTCTACCCACCCAGGCAAACAGGTTGGCTCAACGTGTGCGTAGCTGATGGGAGGTGCAAACTGACAGGGCTCACGCTGCTATCTAAGCAGCTGCATGACTTGCTTAGGTTTTTGATGCCTTGCATGTATTGCTTGTTTTGCAGGCAGCACAGAAGGAAGAGTGTTGTTCCTCTAGAGGATTAAAAAGTTCCCTTGCTGTGTTCCCAGAGAAGCAATGTTGGAATGCCTAACACACGAGTCCCTGTTTGTTCAATGACAGATTTGGTGCTAATTTTGCCGCTGTCTGCTCCCATTTGTGTGTTGTGGTTGTGGATGAAAGCGGCAGAGCAGCGATTAGCTCAAGCCCTGCTGAAGAAACGGTGACTTCTGAAGAACTAGAGAGTGAGAGTATATTACCCTCCGGCGTTTTTATTTTATTTAGCAAGGTAAAACTGTTCATTGAACCAGAGTTCATTTACAGTGGTACCCCAGCAGACTGCAGCCACAGGATGAATTACCAATCGCTCGCAGTGCATACAGGAATCATTCAGGCCCCAGCCCATCTGTACCCAGGATTTCACTCTTTGGCACCGTTCAGTGGATTGGTACCTGTGCCTCTCCCCCAAAATCTTATTAGGCATAACAGAGGGATCTGCTCCCTGTTCTGGTCACCAGATCACACTTAGATCTGCATCCTTTCTGCTGTTTTTGGATTGTAGTTGTTAACCAGAAGCTCACAGGATTAGACTCTGCTAGCCTCCAAATTAATGGAAGGTGGAGTATATGGAGTATATTTTCTTTGAGGATGTATTTTCTTCTTGGGAGCTTTGACATTGGATGATCATAGCTGAGATAATACCAGGAGTAGTAACTAATCCCCTAGTGGATAGAACTGGGGGTGAACAATTCTATTTCTAACAATTAGCCCAGTGGGCCACCAGGAGGCTGCTCTTACCTGATCTTACACATCAAATGGGATTTCTCTCCCTTTGCTTCGGAGCTGGTGGCTGTGCAGGCTCCCAGAGCTCCATCCATCCATTGCCCTGTGCTCCAGGCAGTGATGTGCCTGCTGCATGGTCACTTCCAGCCTGCTGAACGCCAGCAGGTTTGTTCCAGTCGCCTTCATTAAAAATGCATGTGTTAAGTGATGGGATAATTACAGCAACTTGGAGAACGGATAGCGGCAGCAAGAGAAATTGAAAGATGTTGGAGGAACGATATCGGCTATCGTTAGACAAAACAGTTTGTGGCAGGTGGTTTGGCAGCATATAGTGCTGTTGCATATAGTGCTGCTGGATGGCTGGAAAAGGGCATGCAGGACACCAGGTGGGGAGGTGTTACTTCCAGTGCTGCTGCCATCGCTATAGTGCTCAGTTTTTTTTTTATGTTTCTAGGCACCGTGTCGTTCATTTGGGATTTCCCTGCCCTAACTGATTCTGGTTGTGAGGGTGTGTTTGCACTGCGGGTCACATCAGGCATTCAGGCAGCAGGGCAGAGATCCTCCTGTCCGTGGCTGGCACACAGTGTATGCCTGAGGTTACCTGGTGGTGTGGCAGGTGTTAATTTGCAGACAACCAGGATATCTCCAAAGAAAACTCCTTTGGCTCACAGGACGTAAGCAGGTGCTGTCTTTCTGAATCATGGCAAAGCTGAAGCCCTCTTTTCCTTTCCTTCCAAATGTGGTCTATTTGCTGTTGCTTTCTGACAGCGGGGAAAAGAGTAGCTTTGTCTTACCCTCTTTGTTCTGTTGGTTGGAAACCCCTTGGCTGAGCTGGAGAGCTTTTGTCACATTGATGAGTTGGTTTAGTTAGGTAGGGCACCAGAGACCTTTGTCCATATGCTGCCAAAAGATGAAATGATTGTTATTATTTGCCCACTTCACAAGGGGGCTGTGAGGATTAATTCATGTTTGTAAATTGCTTTTGAGATTTAAAGCTGCGTACGAGCACTAGGGATTATTGCTTTCTCACTCTTTAAGGTAATGTAACTTTTATGAAGACTTCTAGCCTTGAAAGTATCCTGGAAGTGGGAAGAGTTAAGTTCCTTTTACAATTAGATATACTTACAGTGTTTAAGGTAAAAAGCAACTACTTCACACCTGTTTCTTCCAAAAAAAAAAAAGAAAAAAAAAGGAAAAGGAAAAAATGGAAAAGCAATGGCAAATAGTGACAGTGCCTCCTCTTTTTTTTCCAGGAGTCCAACGTGCTAATTGCTGCTAACAGTCAGGGTACAATTAAGGTAAGTTATTTTGTGCATCATCTCTTTAAGCGCTCAAATCCGTTGTTAGTAAAGAGTGAGGCCACAGACATGGTACAGCCAGGAGTAGGCATCAGAGGAGGTCATCCCAGCTGTGGAAGTATGCATTTTAAATGATGTATTTGCCTCTGGCATGTGGGGGAGTGAGCATACAGCAGAGGTAGGAGCAGGGTGCAGAAAGCTGCTGGTGCTGCCCTGCACCCGCTGCCCCTTAGCTCTAAACAGTGCAGGAGGGAAAGCGGCCTGCATCGGGAGAGCTCGATGCTCTGCAGTGATGTGCTGCTTAAATTAAACACAGGCCTGGCACTGGGTGTTATGTATGCAATATTTTTCCTGACTGATAATAGGTGCCACGTCTCAGTTGCCACAGCAGCCGCTGCGTTTCCACATTGGTTCGAAAGCAGCTGCATGGCGTTGCTTTGAACGGAGAGGTTTTAAATTAGTGCTGTCTGGCACAAACATCTCCACGCGCTCGTGTTGATTTTTGTGACAGCAGAGGAGGCTCTGCATTTGCTCGCTGGCATTAGCCAGACCCCATCTTCTGGCTGGTGCAGCAGAGCTGAAAGCTGAGCTCCTGATGTGCAGCCAGCTACAGCAGTGCTTGAAATGAGCAGGGCTGCTCCATCGCGTTGCTTACTCTGAGCATGTGGACTGACTTTAACAGACAGCAGCTGCCAACATAGAGTTTTACGAAAGCAACAGCCTTCCCTGTGCACAGAGAGGCTAATGTTTTGCCAGGTATTCAGTGCTTGAATAAAAATCTTTCCAGAATATCTGTTAGACATATTTCTGTCCACACAATGTCAAATAATGTTTGTCCCACTTTGTGTCTCTATCAAGCACACAGCCGAGCAGAAATATTGCCCAAACCCAGGTGCTGCTCCTCTGGAGAGCCCCAGGTCCAGCATTGTCCTGGATTGAACCCAGCAGCATTCACCTCCACTGCGCTTTTGAGGTCTTGGTGTTCATGCTGCAGGCTCGTAGCCCAGAGCTCTGACGCTTTCCATGTCTGCTGATAAAGGAATTTACTTGCTGTCTGCAGAGTTCCATGCTGTGTTGTCACCCTTGTGAATCTGAGCTTCCTCCTCCCAGTTCTCCCTCGTGCCATCGTGTGACAGCAGTTTTCTGGAGCCAGATCAGATCCGATGGTCTGAAGGAACCTGGAAAAATCACTGAAAAAGCAGAAATTAGTCCCAAGTCATCTGTGTTTCTGTGACTAGGTTTCTGTTTTTCCTCCTTTTTAGGCCACGATTGGCCTGGTTACTCCTGTTACTGCAGTTTGTGATGCTGTAGCCTTTCATTTGTAGGTGATTTATTTGGCAGACTTTGGAATTGGTTGCTCATTACTTTGGTCACTTCCTTCCTACTTAAATGAGCAAAGCACACAGGTGCTTCTGATACCTTTAAGTGAATCCAGCACCAACAGGAGTGGTTTTGCTCATGCACTTTGCTTGTTAATGAGAGAAGGTGGAGAGAGAAATGTGTAAACAGCCAAGGTTATTTGGATTCTAGTATTTCTATTTGAGCTTGTTATCAGATAGTGGGGAAGGTGCGACAGTCTGGCAGTGCCCAGGAAAGGGCAGGATTTGCAGTTATGCTGTGGGCCTATCCCTCTCCACCATGGCAGTCCATGCTCATGGGCTTACAGCCCTCAGCTGTCCCCAGAAAAACCACCCTGGGTTGTTACAAGCTGTACAAATCGCTCAGCAGGTGACAGCCCTCGTAGTGCTCATCTCGTTTGTTTGATATTTTTGCATGCTGGTGAATAAAGGGTAAGAGGTGGAGACAAGAAGGGTTGGACCTGTCCTAGTGATCTATATGCTGATGTAGGAGATAATGAACATCATAAATTCCTATTCTGCACGCCTTTTCTTCCCTATTAATCAGGTACTGGAGCTGGTATGAAGGCTTTTCTCAAGGCTTGAGGTACTTGGTCCTGCTGATATGCTGCAGTGTTCATCTGGGATCTTCAGTAGGACAAGAAACCGAAACCACCTTGATATTCCTCCCCAAAACCACCATGTTTGTTTGTTTGTTTTCCCATATATGGACTTTCAAGGACATTTTTGAGATGCTGGGAACACCGGTGAACTGTCTGCCATCAACATTAACTCCACAGACTTTGCTGCTGCTGGTGGTGGTATGGTTGTCTAATTTTTATGATAGGAAAACAAATTCTTTTAAATAAAAACAAAAAGGAATAATAAAATTTATTGAGCCACAAGCTGAAGCGGGAAGATTCTCTCTTGTTGCATATGGGAACAGATTTACTGGGGAAGGGAGCTTACTGGACCACACAGGGCTGTCCTCAGTTGCATATCTCCACTCATCTTTATCTGGACTATTCCTTCATCCATGTTGGCATAAAGTCTCTAAGCCTTACCTGGACGTGCAAGCAATTTGCTTTCAGATATGGTTGAGTTGTTCCTTTGATTTTATTTTTTAGATGCATTAAATGTTGAGAAATGTCACCCAGGTTGACATCACTGGAGACTAAAGTCCTTTGGTTACTCAGAAGAGAAGGGCAGCTTCCCCTTCTTCCCTTTATGCCCCTGCTCTGGCCCTAAGGGGCTGCTCCAAAAGAGAGGAGTAAGTCAGCCTTTCACCCACGTGAGCCCGGTCCTCTGCTGCCTGCCACTGACTGTGCAGAAATGATGTGAGCTGCAGCTGCCTGGGACCTGGACTGCCCTCACTGAGACATCGTGGAGAGGTGCCCTCAATGACACTGAGCTGCCTCTCTGACTACATCAGCTAGAGGAGAAAGCATCTTGATCCAGTTACCAAAGCCCTGCACCACTCATCTCCCGTGTGGTCTGCTGATGTTTGCCCCTCTGCAAACCAACAATGGAAGCTGAGCGTTGTGAATGCTGTAATAAGAGAGGGGATAGAGTTGGTTTGTAACGTGTTTCAGAGCCATGATATAAGTAGCCTTATTTTTAATGGTTGTGCATACACTTAATTGTACATATGGAGGGGGAATAAACCATGATGCTAAGAGCTGTCGTTGCTTTGTTGTCAGAAGAGCAGGGGGAGGAAGAAGGTGCAGATGGTCCCCAGGAGCAGCAGTCACACGGAGCTGCCAGCACTCGTTAAGCCTGGAAGTGGAATGGGTGGGTGTAGCAGCTTTTTCTCGTTGCATGTGGTGAAGGTGCAATGCACACAGTGATACCTGTAGGCAGCATTTCAATTCACAAGCAGAGCCCCTTTGTGTTCATTCATTCTCACTTGTGCCTCCAAGGCTTGGGGTTGCTGCATGGGGTTTCGTGTGCTGTGCGTGAGCACAGCAAGGTCTTGCTGCAGGCTTGGGCCGCCAGTCATGCAGCTGTGCCTGCTGTGTATGAAAGGTGGTAAATGCCTGGAACTGATGTTTTGCATAGTTCTGCATTAGAGCTGAGGACAGATCCTGTCCTGACCCAATGCTCGTGCTTGTTTCCAGTGAGCTGCAGCAGGCTGTAGCTCTCAGCTAGAAGGAAGTGGGATGCGAATCCTTGCTGGCTTCTGGAAAACTGTGTCCAGCTGGGAGGAAGCTGGGGGTGCTCAGCTCCAAGAGCTACATAGGCAGCACCCGGTGTGCGCTGGGTTTCTTTGGGATTGCAGACGTGCTGGGATAGTGAGAGCAAGGAGAGCAGGGAAAGAGAACAGAGCATGAGATCATACTGCATTGCTGCGGGGCTGCAGGTCTCAGCCATGCGAGTCACCAGGGTCGCTGTGGTCGAAGGAATCAAGATGGGTTCCTTCGGCCTCCTGCCAAGCAGTCCGTCTCCATTTTCACTGCGTTTTAGGATGGGTGCTTGTGCCTGAGATCTGCCACCCTCCCTGCCTTGGATGCTGGGTTTCCCTCAGCCTGTCTCGTTTATTGGTGCCTATTGATTTGTTTTGATTTGAGCTGCTGCTGTTGTGTCTGGTGTTGTGACAGGACCCCTCGGGCACATTTCTTGTCCCCCTGCTCCATGCCACGAGCAGCCACTTGGCAGCCGCCTTCATTCCTCCTCTGCTCCCTACTTGAATGTCCTCTGGACTTTAAATTGAAATGGCCTCTGATGAGGATGAGATGTTGAAAACAGAAGGGAAAAAAAAAACAGCTATTTTGAATGCCATAAGGTTACTCCATGAATTAAGCAGTGAAAACAGTTTAACATTAGCCTCCTTTATTTTCTAGGTTTTCATTCCGCTTCAATCAAGATAAAATGCAAATTCGGAGTCTGGCCCTAATTAGAAACACAGCAGCTCATAAACATGGGTTGATGGCATTTTTTGTCTTTGTCTTTTTGTCACAAGTGATATGCTCCTTATTTTAATCCCCTTAATTTTCTTTCCTTCAGGTAACTCTCAGTGTTGACGTGTATTAAGTTGCATATAATTACTATAATCTTTTAATGGCGTTTGGTTGAATTTCTTTTGAATTAGTTGTCTTCCCGTGTCCTCTGTACGAGCAGCTCGCTATCCAAAAGCCACTGGTTTGCTGTGTGTGGTGTTTGCCAGGAGAAGTGAGGATCCTGCAGATGACCCACGTGGAAGGAGCAGGTCCAAATAGCAGAGGCTGTGGAAGAGGCTGTGGTTTTCCCTGTCCAAACAACTCTTGCACAGACCTGCAGAAGCTCTCATCTACTGTTTTGAGAAGAAGCCATCCCCAGGCAGGTTGGTTAATGGCTGGTGAGTTCCCACTTCACACACTTAGTGTACTGATACCTTGCTATGTTCCTTCAGCAACATGGTAGCCTTCAGCAGCCTCCTTTCCATCTTGGGCTCATGGCCCCAGTGAGGTTTTCAGCGTTTTTTAGTGTCGGGGAGTAATCAAATTCAGGAGGCACCTCTGGAAGTCTCTGCTCCACCCCCTGCTCAGAGCTTCAAAGCTGGTTAGGGTTGCTCCAGGGCTTGGAGATGCTCAAAAGCTTAACCGAGCAAGGACAGAGATTCTTAAGCCTCTCTGGGAAACTTGTTCCAGTACTTAACTCTCATTGTGAAAATTAATTGCAGATGGTAGGTGCGTGCAATCCTTACAGTTTCTTGCATTGGAAGACCAAAGTGACAAAGCCTGTGGCTGGTAGCTGCCCCACGGCAGCTTTTGCCTCCAGTGCTTGTGTCCCTGGGAGAGCTGTTGGGTGAGGAAGGGTTTTTCTGCAAGAAAGGGGATTTGAAATGCTACACAGCAAGCCAACCTTTTTAATTAATCTTAAAGCATTTAATAGGAGAGTGGGAGGAACACGCTTCAGTGCTAAAAAGAAGTTCATTGCTGGAGGGAATCGAAAGTGATGGTCAAGGGGAAATTTAAATTAATATCAATATGTCAGGGCTCTTCAGCAGCAAGTGCAGGCAGGCTGCTAATGCCAGCGTTCAACTCGCATGCTGGATCCTTGTTTGTTTAATTTGGTCTAACTCCAGAAGGTTGCAAAGACACCAGCGGATAATTGGAAAAGCAAAGCCAATCTTTCCTTGCTCGGAAGTCGTCTTTCCTTTCTCCTTGTTGGAGGAGGCCAGAGGGCAGCCAAACCCTGACATTTGGCTGGAAGAAAGCACCCTGCTAGCCCATTGCCTGCCATGACATGGGGAGACAAGGAGCTGAAGCCCCTAGGAAGCTGTGGTGCGGCAGGATTTGTGACACAAAGACCGGAGCCCATCCCCACAGCCTGCTGGTGACCATCACTTTGCTTTAGTTTTGCTTTGAGAATGGGTTCTGGTGTTGGGAGTCTTCCCAACCTGCTCTCAGCTCAACAAGGTAATGCTGGGGTATTTGTTCTGTGTCTTCACTCTTTGTTAATGAAATGAAATTGCTTTGGGTTAAAGCAAGTCTGCCTTCCCTGCTCCCTACTGACAGGCCATTTGAGTTGAGTCAGCTTCACCAAAAACAGTGGTTTTAAATCTTAGCTTAGCTCCAAAAACAGGAATTTTTTACGTTCCTACTTTAAGTTTCACCCCCTTAAACCTGGGTCTGGATGATGATTCACCATTGCTACTCAGCAGAGGCAGGATAAGAACTCGTCCTATAAAATTGAGCAGTGGGAAAAAGCCTTTGGGGCAGGGCGTGCAGTGACTTCTTGAGGACTTGCACAAGTAGCTGTGGGCCACAAGCACCTCCAGCCCCAGCGTTCTCCTTGAAACCCCTCCATGCTCCTACCGTGGGGCTGGGGGCTGCTGGCAGCTGCAGCTGGGCAGCGCTGCCACCTCATCTCTAAAATCCTCTCAGGCAGCCAAGGAACATAATTTGGAGACGTTCAAATTAAAGGAACATACAGGCCATCCTTAGGAGGCATGAGTAATAGCATGTGACAGCTGAAATCAAGTCAGTGGTGCAAGCCGAACACGAATCCCAAACTGCTCATGCAGCCTGGGGGCCTTGGGTAGAGTTTCGTTCCTGTTTGCTGCACCTGGGATGATTTTTGTGGGGATTGCTGCAGTGGCAATGCGGTTTGCAAAATGTGAGCTAGCAGCTTGCATACAGCTCTGCCTGCTCGTGCATCCCTCTGACCCTGTGCTTTGCTAACAGACCCTCCAAGGAACAGCATACAGGATCCAGGTGTGCAGGGAAAGAGCAAGTTCAGTGTTCCCCTGGGCCAAAAGACACCACTGGGCTCATTTCAGCCAAGTGTTACAGCAGGCCTGGACCTGAGAATGCTCCTGTTCCTCTAGCAGGAGCCTCACTGTGGGTAAACAAGCTTTGGGGGTTGTTTTTTTTACAGAATTTCCCCTCCTTTATTTCTTACAGGGACCACTCTTCCCCATTGGATTGTTTTTGTGCACTTGAGCAGCAAGGAGGGGAGTGAAGGCTGTAGGTGTGAACCCAAGAAATGTGCACATTGGGCAGGGAGAAACTCATTTGTCCTCACTGAAACAAACAGCACTCTGAATTCCAGATACTCCTAAAAACATACAGATGTTGCATGTATGTTTTTAACCCCAAAAGTTGCCTTCAACCTGGTATCTGTCTTTGCTGGCAGTGAAGACCAAATCCCATTCAAGACAACCTGAAAATGTGAGTGTCTGCAAATAACATCCCACTGAAGCCAGAATTCAGCCCCTTTGTCTTGTGCTCAGGCCCCCACCAACGCAGCATCTCTCAGTGCTTCCCTGAGCCATGCAGCCTTCCGTGGGTCTCTGGGGTGGATGTACCCTCTTCAGTCAGGTCTTCATGCCCCCCTCTTTTCCAACCCTTGCCTCCCACACCCTATGCATGACAACCCTGTGATTTATTTATATTAAGTCACAAACTCAGCATCTCCTCCTGAT